TTGCGCATAGGCAGTGCCGATGAGGGGAGCCTGAGGATGAGATGAGAGTAGCATCTGGCGGGCAACCGCCGGCAAGCCATCACACCTTTCGCAATCAATGCGACACCAATATAAGAGCATGCTTTCGATGAGGAACTATCACAAACAAGATGTTGGAGGTGTTTGGGATGGAAATGATTGCAGGCCGCTGGTGTTGGCAGGATCCGGGTGCAGTCGGGCCGACTCCTCATCGCGCTCAACGGGCCTCGTCGCTGCCTGCTGCTGCCTGGACTATCACCACGCCCGCCTTGGCACCGTATGAGTATATGTTACCCAGCACCACACATGTAGAAGTTAGTATCATCGCAGATAGTTTTGAACAATGGCTACGACAGCAGCCCCAGATCTCAGACGTTCAAAGCGCAAATTGGACCAGCAAGCCGCCAACCCAGTTCCCAACACCAACAATGCGCCGGCGCCCAAGAAACGTGCGCGTAAAGCCACAACATCTGACATCACACCCATACAAACCCGCCCAGTCTACACCACCTTACCGCCCTTCCTCGCTCTCCCACGAGAGCTGCGAGATGAAATCTACAAGCACGTCCTAGAATCAGACAACACATCAACACTCAAATCCGGGGCCCGCAACATCGTCACACGCTGCGGCCTCGCAGGAGTCAACAAACAGATCTGCGACGAGTACATCGATGCCGTCCTCTTCTACGCACCCGTCATAACGACAACGGTGCGCAACCACAACTTCGCACCTATCGTCACGTTCCTGAACCGCCTGTCGCAGGCTCAGCTGAAGAGATTGAGTAACGATGGACTTCAGGTCGCCGGGGCATACGACAGTCATGCGGTGCCGATGCGCAAGATACGCATCATACTGTCATATACCGCTGGTGCGAAGGATAGCCATGCGCAACTGAATCGCTGGCTGGACAGATTCGATAACCCTGATAAACGGGGTTTGGGGATTGAGTTCGAGTACGAAGGCGATGGGACGTGGGACAAGGGAGGATACAAGCAGAGACCTAGGCCACGGGTTGGTGCAAGTAAAAGGTGGATAGAAGAAGCGCGAAAGGTCAGAGAAGGCGGTCGTGGTCGAAAACGGAATGGGTGGTATGCAGTTTATGGGCGAAGGTGCTGAAGTTCAATGTATTTCTGATGTCGAAATGCGTGGTCGCGGTGTTGTGTGAGCTGGAGTGTGAGATCTGTGGGGACATCTTCCTCACGTGATCGTGCCGTCGGCTTCTGCATCCCACCTGCCTGCGTGCATCTAGATCCGCAACCTTATCAGCAAGAACCTCGTGTATGCGCCGCTTTACCCGCAAGTTACCTCAACCAAGCCATCTCCTTCCTCGTTCCCTTCCCTTCGCAATAGCCCAGCGCACCTATACACACTTTCCAAGGTTCGCTCCCGCCCGCACGAAGCCAGAGCACTCACGCGGTCCAAGACCCGACGCGTCGCGCCACATTGCTGTCACTCCGTCGCGACACCGCTAGCTCCAAACTCTGTCGGTGAACACACTGCGCCTGCAGTAGTTTTCTGGCAGAAGCTCAAAGGGCGACTGCATCCTCGTATATGTACTCAATGCTAGCTCCGGGCTGCGGTAAATGTAAATGCTCGAAAGTCTAGAATCTGCGAACGCTGCTAGGTGGATGCCAGACCTGCGATAACAGCGACGAGATATGCGCAAGACATGACATGCCAGAATTCTGCAGCATCGCAAAATGACGTGCGTCAACTTGTCCTTCATGTCGCGAAACAGGTATCCGGGACCGCCGCACTGTGCCACGACATCCCGAGGTCCCTTCGCTCCGCCGCAAAACAACACAAAAGGGGCCTCCGGCGCATGCGCACTCCTTTTTCCCACGATCCATCTCTGTCGGCACATGCACTAGGCGAGATACGCAACACGTGGACTCCCACGGGAGAGTCGCTCGATCTAGACTTTTTCGCCCGCCCTGCATATATTGTTCTTCGTTAACGAAAGGATATTTTATAGTTGACCAATGAGGCAGGAGCGTAAGGTGGCATGAGTATATTGCATCGCATATGTTTTTTCTGTCGAGATTGTCGAAATGTTCCGTTCCTGCCGCTCGCGACCGCATCGTGTATGTGAGGTCCAGCCCAAATGGACATGGCAATGCACTCCAGACTTGTCTACCATTTACCCGGGTCTCTCGACAATCAAAAGTGTGTCGCGGCTCATCGGTCGTGGCATCGTGTAAAGTTCCGATGTTCCGGACCCCGCCAGCACGCTCAGCTCTTGTCTCTGGTTGACGTTACGCGACGCGCATGCCCAGCTCCCACGGTTGTCAATTAATCTCGCACAGCGCCCGCAGAAATGGTTTCTGCCACGAGGGCGCGCACGCGGGGAACCGGAGTGCATGTCGTACTTCATATCTAAATTGATGAACTTGGACCAGGGCACGAAAGTTTGGAGCCGAGCTAGCAAGCTTGCTCGCTTGACAGATGCCGTGACTAGTAGATTGATGGGCAGAAGCAATTGCTGTTTAAGAACAGACTGGTTTGTCTTTCTGTCGATCTGGACTGGATTCTGTTGTGTTACTTGCTTCTTCCCATTCTTGTTGGGTTTTGGGTCGATCATAACACGACTTTGGGACACTTCTTGCATCTATCGTCGCTTTTGGGATTCCTTGCTCTATCGTTCGGCACCTGCATCGCATAGTTTTCAAATATCATGAAGCTCTCAGCTATCATCGCGGTCGTCGCCGCATCCGTGGTGCTTGCGTCGCCCGCTGCCGTACGTTCTCCCATCCCTCGTCTCCATCCTCTCATCCCATCCGAGGTCATTCCCGTCTAATCATCAACATAGGTCAGTCTCGAGCGATCTGTCAAGGAAGTCAGGGACGCAGATGGAACTACCAAGGCGGTTTCTTGCGTTGAGTGTCCTTGCGATGGGTTTCTTGGGATATGCAAATGCGTATGTATTGACTATCGAAGAAAGAGGATGGGGCTGATGAAGACAGATTCCGAATGGATGCTGCTGCATTACTTGAGCATGCAGGGGGTTGATGGGGTAGGGTGACTTGTGCATTATCGGCGTTGAGGATTACTACATACAAAATGGCGGAACTGTTTTGCGATTCAGAAGTGAGAGAACGATGGCTGAGCGGAAAGGGAAGAGGAGGATGCTCGCGCATAGTATAGATACCTTCATCCATCAAAAGCATCAACCACATCCACCTTCCCAACATCATCTCATCCCGTCTCCCCACCTTCCCCACCCTTCTCAGCCTCCTCCCTCTCCTCCTCCGGTCTAACCCACTTCCGAAACCCAATCGTCATAATCCCACCAATAGCCACCTGAAAAGCCTGAAAGATAATCGCCGGAATCTGCATCTTACTCTGATCCACCGGATCAATATTAATATACATAACGCTCGTCAGCGGGACCACCATCGCCAGCGCCTTCGCAGGACAGCAATAGCAACAAGCAATAACATCTTTCTTAGGCAGCCACATAGTCGCAGCTACGAAGCAGATAGCCAGCCAGATGAAGTAGAGCGCGATGGTGATGAAGACGATGAAGATGATGTTGGAGGGTTTGACGGCTGAGAAGGCGCCGGAGGAGAAGGCTTGGTCGAAGGTTTGCCATACCATTGTGAGGAGGGCGATGGAGGAGAGTTTGAGCAACTTCCACTCGAAGAAGACCTTTTTCGTGAGCTTGGGAAAGAGGCGTTGGACGATTTGTCCGATGAGCATGGGGAGGAAGAGGGAGAGGCCGAGTTGCATGAAGACGCGCTGGTAGATCCCGGCGTAGCCTGAGCCCCGTTGCAGGACTTTGCTATACCAGGATCCGGTTGAGAGGTACATTTGCAGGATTATGGGTGTGAGGAAGGGACAGAGGAACTGGCCGATTACGGATTGGACGACTGTGAGTGCTGCGTTTCCGTGGGCTTGTCTCGTCATAACGACGTTGCTGGACATCGTTGTGGGCGCGCTGCCGACGAAGAGGAAGCCGATCAGGAGCCATGGGTCCATGAAATTGGGGTTCGTGGCACACAGGCTGACGATGGCGAAGGTAGCTGCGGAACAGACGAGGTAGCATTGGAGTTGAACGAAAATGTGCAGTTTCCATCGCATGTAGTTGGCAAGCATGACCCGGGTATCCAGTGTACAGCCGTTGATGAAGAAGATGACTGATACGGCGAGGTATGTGATTACGGTCCGTTTCGTGCGTTGCTGGGAGGCTGGAACCTGGACTTGGGAGGAGATGAGGACGACGGCGCCCATGGCGAGGAGGAACCATTGGTCTTTGATGAACCACTTGAGGACTTCGAGGGCCTTTGCGCGCTTGGGTAACTTCTTCCTGACTGTTGACTGGTCCCCCTCTTTTGTCTCGGATGCTGTAGCTTCGAGGGGCTCGTCAGCTTTCTGGGTTTCGAGGAATGGCGGTCCAGTGTTGATTGAGTCCATATTCGTTGCTTCTGTAATGCTCTCTTCTGCTATCGTTCTTTTGTTGCCTTCCGTAGACGACCGGCTTGATGGTGTCGCTGCTGTGCGCAGCTCGAAGTCGTTATGCTTGTCCATCGAAGCTGCCATTTAACGTGTCCCTAGATACCCAGTCACAATACTCAAATCTGCTCTGCATGCGTCTTGGCCTTGAGATATGTGACTCTTCGGTAATATGACGGGCCTAATCATGTAGCCGATTTAGCGCATGCCGACGCGGGAAGTTTACCCCAATGACGCGTGGGCGGGTGAACCCGGGTTCCTGCCATCATCTTCTTCAAGCGACAATCATGCATCGCGAGGCAGTGAGAACGGTGAATCGGTTGTCTATGTTCCCAGAAGTTGAAGGGTGAATGATGGCAGATGACAGGCAATGAGGCGGCCCGGTTAGTCAGCTTGAACAAAGGCATCATCCCCGCCATTCATCGCGGCGTAGCACGGCGCATACAGTCCACCTCGCACGCCTTTCGCTCTCACAGCACAACATCCACCCAGGCTTCCAGCCACCCGTCACTCGCTTCTTCCTCTCCCAATGACCGCCCCTCATTCTTCCGGTGCCGGTGTCGACTCCAACCGCAAACTCATCTGGGCGAGCGTCTACCGCACCCTCCTCCAACACGCCCTTCCCGACGCGCGCTTCAACCATGACTACATGTCCTTCACCCCCGACTTCCGCGGCTCAGCGTCCGCCATCGACCGCCTAACCACGCTCCCATGCTACCAATCCGCCGCCGTAATCCTCATCACACCCGACAACAGCCTCGAGCAACTACGATGCCGGGCGCTGAAAGACGGAAAAAAAGTCCTCGTCGCTACATACCGCCTACGCCGCGGTTTCGTCCTCTTACATCCCGGGCATATAGCCGAGAGTAAATACGAAATCGCGGCTTGTCTAGACGGCATGGAGAAGCCTGGGGTGGGGCGGTCGGTGTCGCTGGCGCAGATGCGCGATGAAGGACTAAGGGTGGATATGTGCGTCACGGGGGGTTTGGTGTTCAACGCGCAGGGCGTGACGATCTGGGAAGGGCATAATCTATTTGAGATACAATGGGCGATGCTATCGGACCTAGGTGTTTTACACACGCAGACACCTGTTGTGGCAGTCGTACATGACTGTCAGGTCGTTGATGAGATAGCGCTGGGTGTGGAGAAAGTAACACCGATGCGGAAGGGAGAGGTACAGTGTGACTTTGTTGTTACACCGGATGCGATGTATGAGATTGAGGGTGCGGTTAAACCTAGCGGGGGTGTAGACTTTGATGCTGTAGATCCGGAGGGCGTGGAGAATATTCCGCCGTTGCAGGAATTGAGGGGGATTAGGATGATGGAGAAGATTATGCAGAAGGAAGGGTTTGTATCTGAGAAGGCAGATGGGGAAGGGGAGGGTGAGGGGAAGATGAGTGAGGAGGAGCAGATGGGGGTTAGTATTGTGGAGAAGCTGATGCAGAGTTATAGGGCGTAGGAAATGAAGATCATGACGATATAGACATGTGCGAGGTAGGTCGACAAAACACTTGAAAGGGATTATATTACCAGGCTATAAGACATGCCCGTAAAAGACGGAGCGAAAGCAATGTATCTGCTTCGAGGCGGATGTGAACATCGAACGCCAACGCAATGGAAAAGATGCAAGCTGACCTCCTCCTCCTCCCGCCGTTACAGACACCATCTTCCATGTATACACAACCTACGCCCTCTCCTTCCAACACTCCACCCCAGTAACCCTCCCCACCTTCCCCCCATCAAGCAAAACCCTCTCCCCACCCATCCTCACAACGACTCCTTCACTGCCCCACCCCAAACTCGCTTTACACACCACATCCGCATCATCCCTCTCTACTCCCCCTCCTTGCAAATCCGTGCCCTTCTCGACCCCAAGTATCTCGATGGCTTGGACGTGTTCTGGCCGTGTACTAAGATCGAGAGACACGTCGATGGGTATGTGTATTGACCATGCGTTTTTGGATGTAGATGTGGAGGTTTGTGGGTTTTGGGATGAACCGATTGTGTAATGCGAGGGCGAGCCGATGAGGGAGAGAGTAACGAGGGGTAGGGCTTCTGAATGTTCAGGTGAGGGTAGTGGGGAGGCGGCTGTAAAGGCGATGAGGCCTGCGATCGAGAGAACGGTTTTCATGTTGTGCCGTGTTGATGTGCGTGTAGTCGCAAGTTGACGTGTCGCTGTAAGCCGGTTTCGCAGTCCGTTTGTTTATATCGTTGAGTAATACTCGGTCCGAAGATGTCTGGGATATGGTATGTAGCACAGCGTGCGCCTCACCACCTCGCACCCACCTTCTCATATACAATACCTCTCAACCGCGCCGCAATGTCTCCACTGTGCGCGAAACAACCTACCAGTGGCACAGCCGTCCTCCAGCGGTTGGGTAATCTCAATTTACCAAAGAGAAACACCTACGCCACAGCCGCTGTCACCCACACGGCATTCCTTCGGCGGTGCAATGCGGAGAATTGTCTGGCGTCGTGATTGGGGCGGCTGCGGGACGTAGCCGCTAGGATTTTCCGGGGGCCTTCGTGTTGGTGAGTGGGCGGGCGCGTCGTGCCTTGATGCGCCCGAGACTGTGCCGCATTGGCGCATCTATGTACATATGCAACGCATGCATGCATAAGTAAAAGCAAATTGCTTATCATAGGAAAAGGAGAGGGCGAAGGATGCGAAGAAGCAACCATCAAGGTTATCGCATGGACTTACTTCAAGAAGTGGAAGCTTGTGTGTTGTGTTATCTGGAGATAAGAAAGTGAAGATGTGCCGCAAAAGCAAAGTTGTGTTCTTGCTGGGCAATGTCAATACCTTGTCCGCGAAGAAGGGGATATCTCACTCCAGTTCGGCCGTAACAGCAATGCAATAGTGCAGCCCGATCCCCTTCGGAGTGGGTGTACTTGGATTGGAGGGTGATGATGCTCATGTTATGCTTCTTGTGTAGGCCATTTGTTCGTGTCTGTATGAATGCCTCGTTCTGGTACAGCTTACAAGATCGGCAGTTCATTTGTTGATGGGTTGCCGTGTCTCGTTCGGGTTGTGATAATCGCCTCTCAATTTAGCAGTCGTGGCAGCTGCATCAGAAATCGCATTCGGACTAGACGACGGCTCGGCCTCCAACATGTCCGCATGTTGAATGTCGCCCTTATTCCAGTACCTTGACAACGTTTGTTGCAGTACATGACCTGCCTGCTTCGATTGTTAGGCCTCTAGCAAACATCTAACGAGTTCCCTGGTTTGAAGGCATAACGTCCACCATCGTGTAAACGGATAACAGGACGTCGGACATAAGCGCGAACTAGATGACAAACCCGCAAGTTCGTCCGTTACCAGCGGGTACCGACTCACATTTTAACCAAAGTTTGTTGCCATGACTGAACCTTGCGAGCGTCGTCCAGAAATGTTCAAGATTTTCACTTAACCCAGTCAACCATAGGATCGTTGCTCCCGACTGCAAGGGTTGCACGAATGCGTCGATGGGGCGGCTCGAAGGTGGGTTCGGCAGGCCAAGGGTATGAAGAGTTCTTCGTCGCACTCGCAGGGGAACACCGTTTTACTCTCCGAACTCCAATACACGGTCGCCACTTTGGAGGCCGGAGTTTTTCCCCAGGAGTCTGCTCCGCCGGACGCCTAAACCTTCGTTGGGAGGCCTGGTGAGCGTTCCTCGGCAGTTTGAGACGAACTTACCAAACGGGAAGAACGTTGAGCTGAGACCAACTGGCTTTGAGAGGACCGGACGGGCGTGGCATCGGGAGATAAACGGTTGCGGAGTTGTTTCCAGGAATTTGGAAGTGCTGTGCTACCCTGATGCATGCGACGCTCATGTCGCCATTGTTCTGTGGATTCGGGGCCCACATATGGAATTTTGGTCGCTAGGATGGTGCCTGCGAGACTCATCGACCTGCCATCCAGCGTTACCCGCGTTGAAATTCAATCCCGATGCCTGTTTGTCGAAAAATTGAAGCAGTAGTCGTCGGACAGGCAATTGACAGGCGTTCGGACGACTAGCCGTTGTTGTATATCAGATCCCAAGTCCAGGTTTCAGTCGCGAACCATGGCCGTTCGTGCGACGGACTCTGCATCTAGGGGACGACAGTAGCGCTGGCGATGATGCAAGTGCTGAGCTAGATCCAGGTCCTCCAGTGCCTACAGCAAGTGCCGATGCCCGCGACGACGAGTCAGTCCGCGCACTAGATACTCGTGAAACCCTGCAGACTCAATGTGAGGAAGCCGAGGCACCTGAGTAGTCTGGCGACAGTCTTGACTTATACAACTGAACGCCAAAAGCCACCGCATCTATCATCGTAACATGGCTTGCGGTGTCGGCGGACTCTGGCTCTCGCAAACCTGTCAGTGGGGCTCCACGCAGGTTCAGGAACCGCCCGGTTAGCGGTTACAAGTTCCCGTCTTTAGACGTGCAGAGCACTTCCTCATCGAGAGAATCGGCAGTCAGCGTAGAATAGCTGAAACCAACGGTTAAAGAGATACTGCGCGATGATGCAGCCGATCAGCGGCAGCAAGTGGGAGCTCCGAGGAGTCTGTGAGGTTGAGTGTTGACTCCAGGGCTGTCAATGGGCGTCGGAGCTAGCTGGGAAGCGGAAGGCACGGAAGATGCAGCCCTTGCGAGATTTTCGGTGACTAATCCCCTTCTCGGCTAGCCTTCACGTGGCCGGTGAACATCGCGAAACTCCTTCGAGCGGGACGCATCTAGGCACCACCAAAAGCAGGACAGAGCAACCACTGCCGTTACCCAAGCCGCGCTTTTGAGTTTTGCTACTGCAAGCTGCCTCCCAGCCATGGTGGCGTCCCAGCCTATGCGAGGTACAAGTCAGCCATGTGTACGAGGCTGCCCAGCTGCTGCACATGTGTACGCTGATCTCCTATCCCCTCCGTCATGTCCCTATTTGAGTTCAATGAACAATTTCGTTTGCGGCAGTCAACACTACTGCCGTCAGCTTCTACGCGTCCCCGTATGCCCTGTCAACGCATGAACGACTTCGCCAAATCCATAGTCCCACGTCCGAGCTCCGCGGGACAACGACCCTGTTGGTAATGGTCGCTCCTTGAAACGGACCAGACCCTGGAACGAGTCCTGGGAGCCCGCCCGCAGACCCACTTCACTCGTGGCGGCATGCATATGCGGTGTCTTCTATAGCCTCCACCCTGCTTATTCGGTCAAGTGTCTAGCTGCGTAAAAGATCCTGAGCCCCCCATTACCGACCGAACGGTGTGCTCATTCTGGGGCTCCTCGCTGTATGAGTGTCCACTGCTTCGTCAATATACCACACCACAATGGCTATTCCCAACAGAGGCCCCGAGCTGCTCGCAGTCAACATCGCCTTCGTCACCACTGCAGTTCTGGCGTGTTGCTTGAGGATCTATGTTCGCGTTTGCATGGTCAAGGCATTTGGCCGAGATGATTATTTGATGGTACTCGCAACTGTAAGTATAGACAGATACGATAACTGGGTCCCAGTCTGACTAAGTCTCCAGCTCTTCTTCATTTCGTACACCACATCTTCATGCATCGGTATACACTATGGAACCGGAAAACATCATCATGACCTGCCCATCGAGGGCGTTCAAAACGCGAAGCATGCGTGGTACTTTTGCTATCTGTTCTACTCGGTTTCCATGATCTGTTCGAAGCTTTCCATTGGATTCCTTCTCTTGCGGATTAGTATACGAAAGCTACACACATGGTAAGCAATCAAGCAAATGAAACTTGTGACAACACTTACTAAGAATATCAGGATCATCTACAGTGCCATGTGTGTCTCGATTATCGCTGGAGGCACTTTCTTCTTCGTCTGTCTCTTCCAGTGCTACCCAATCTCGTACATGTGGGACCGCACTTCGCAAGAAGGGAAGTGCGTCGACAACACAGTCATCACCGCTCTCGGCTACGTCTACAGTATCTTCAGTATCATCACCGACTTCACCTTCGCTATCATCCCAGGCTTCTTGGTATGGCACTTGCAGTTGAAGAGGAGGACCAAGGTTGCTTTGATCCCGTTGATCACCATGGGTTGCATCGCAAGTGCTGCGGTCATCGCGCGCATGCCCTTCGTTCATTACTTCAACTCTCCTGACTTCCTCTGTACGTTCTCCTACCGCTACTTGTGGTACTGGGCACTAACGCTGTCAGGGTCCACACTTGACATCGCTATCTGGTCATCGGTCGAACAAGGTCTCGCTATCACAGCCGGTAGCCTTGCAACACTCCGCCCATTATTCTTCATCGCCATGCACAAGCTTGGTCTCTCCACCCGACCAACGGGAGCCTACCGTCCGTCCGCATACGGCATGTCCGCCCCTCTACCCGGAAACGCCGCTGGAAACTCCAAAGCCGACAAGCTCCGTCCCGACATGTACAAACTCTCCGCCACTGTACAGACTCGCACTTCCGACGATGAACCTATTCCGAATTCGAATAAATGGTATGGCGGGAAGGCACCACCGAACTCGAAGAAAAGTACGCGCGTGGACAACTCTGACAACGATAGTCAAAGGAGTCTAAGAATCAAAAGCGCTCGGAGCAGTGCGGAGGAAGTCGACTACCAGAACGGCATCATGGTCTCCAAGTCTTTTTACATCACGGATGAAGAGCGGGGATCGGTTTTGTCTGCGCCTTACAGATGATGAGTTTCAGCAATATACCCACTTTCACGACTTTCCATTTGTCATTCCGAAGACATGCGGTGTGGCCTACCTCGCGGAGGAACTTTATGTCGCATCGGCGGACTCCATATTTTTCAGATACACCTGAAACGGAGTACCGTGAACGAAATGAGTTCAATGCTGTCTCCCAACGGCGGTGATGATGGCGTTCACACAATCACAGTCGTAATCACAGTCGATGTAATCAACGACGCAGATATGTCTGAGTGCCCAGGTCCCACCTCCGCGGTACTTCCAAAGCCGCGGGAAGAAGCAAGTATCAGGGCTGCACGACACCACGAAAAAGCCATCGTGAACCCGAAAAAGTATGCGAACGCCCTGCCTCGGCAATCGCAGTTACCGAGCATTGCGAGATCAAAAAGCAGGTTCGTCTGGAAGCACACCGCCCCACAGCGGCTCGAGTCTGGGTCATACTTGACTCGAATATACCACGGCAGGGAAGCGACGACACCAACTGCCGCATCACGGCTCACGGCCTTCATCTTTGTATACCCCATCCCTGTACATTACCAAAGCGACATGACATTTTCCAATACCCTGTATATACTAGTAACATACTTAATAAGAAACGCTAAGAACATTCCACGCACGTTGCGAAATCCATTTGCGACACGGGTAGTCTACCTGACGTTGATTACCTAGATGCCATGACGACGAAAAAGACGTCGCGATGCGCTACCCCAAGGCCAGCTTTGTCGTCTCGAAATACTAAGCTTGCCGCAGTTTCAAAAGGAAGGGAGTTTGTCGTTACCAGATTACAACTGCCGCAGAGCCTCAGACCATCACAGCAGGGTGGGGGGTAAGCTTACGTGCAGCGCCATCCTTCCTCACTACGACATCGCCATACATTCTTCTGACCGCCACTGTCGTCTCACCATCACACCACGTACCAGCATCACCTTCGCAATGATCTACCTCCTACCCATCCATCCCTTCGCTGCCACCAACCCCCCCATCTGCATATCCATCCCCATCGCAACCAAAGGACACTCCGCCGACGCCTCCCGACCGGTGACCGTCGCACCACCCCTCTAACAACCGACGCTCTACACTACAGAAATCTCCACAAAACCTTCCAAATTGTTACGAACGGCGGTTCCTACCGTTCCGTCTCGATTGTCCTATCACCTGGCTCCCCTCTCAACCTACTACCACCACCAGTAGCTTGCCCAGACCCCGAAAGTCCGAAAGTGCAAAAGCGCGGAATTGCGACAAAAGGCCCGATTTGCAGCGATCATAACGCCTAGCTACTGGATTAGTGTATTAGTGTACCACCCGCCAGTCTGGCCTTGACGCGGGACCTAGCTGGCCTAGTTCGCTAAGATCATCGCTAAGATCATCGTTTGAGGTGCGGGCTGGAAAAGGTCCGATGGTGTGGTGGGATGTGATGTTCAGGAGGGTTGGGCATGCACGCAGGGAAGAGGGGTGTAGTGTGTAACCTGCGTGCTGGAGGTTGGTAGTAGTGTATCCAAGGCTGCAGGTGGCAAGTGAAACCGCAATGACGATGACGAACTAGATGTACGCATGGAACGATGAACGATGATGGGGTCAATGGAATGTGACCAATCGGTGAGCTTGGTGCCCTGTGACATGCCGAAAGCTGAGAGGAGCATAGAGTTCGGTGGCTGGGTAGCCGTTGAGAAGCAGGTTAGGAAGCAATCGTGCATGAGGCCGCTAGGGGCATCGGAATAGACATGAGCGAGTGACATCTGCGGAAGTGACATTTTTACTATGCAAGCGAAGCCCGTGTTCAGGCGGAGTTGACACCGGTGACGGGCGGCATATGTGGTGAGATTCACAACTTAACTCTCTCCGTGTTTCCACGAATGGGCATGATTACTCATACACAAGCGACAAGACCTTACGCTCGAGCGCAAAGCCCAGACGGAAAGCCAAGATGAAGAGACGGGTTGCAAGCGTCGCGGACCGCGATCAGAGTTGGAAGAGATGCATCTGGAACACAATGCAAGAGTCTGGAGTTTGGTGGCTGAGATTGCGGATTACACGTCGGAATTTATGTCTACTTCAGTCTACATCCGAAAGTGATCAACGCGCTCAAGTGCAGCACGAGCAGTCACTGCAGCTCGAGTCGCGAATAGTAGGCGGCGCCGCGCACGTCTTCTGCGGTGTGTACGGCAGCGTCGTAGTAGCAGGCGGGGGAGCATTGAGTGTCGATGCCTTGACCAAAACGGGTATGGCAGCGCCAGTCGAGAGACGGAATTCGCGATGGCCAAGAACTGGGGTTTCGTTAGTACGAAGATGTCGGGACGACATTGAAAAGATGGGGACGTACCGCGAAGCAGACTTCCGATCTCCCCGGAATGCGAGGAAATAGAGATATAAGTACTGTCATCATTGCTGAGAATATCATCAAGCACAGCTTTTGAGCGAGCATCTTGGTTCGCGCGCGGCTCAGCGAAGAGCTCAGTCCAGTATAGGTCCTCCTCTGCAAAACCCTTTTCGAACTTGAAGCCAGGGAAGTTCTTCTTGATGAAGGACTTGCTGTGGCGGCGATCGCAGGTATGCGCACTAATACCTTCACGCAGGAACTCCTTCACGACAGGCACGAAGGGATTCTCTTTCGGCAGCTTAACGCCTTCGAAAGTGATCTTCGCGGTATCGAGACAACGGTACAGGGGGCTGGTGTAGAAAGTCTCGGGCGGAGTGATCTTCTCATCTTTGATGAGATGGTTCCAGAATTTGTTCACCACTTTCGCTTGCTCGATGCCGTCGATGGTGAGCTGTGCATCTGCCCAGGTAACGGTGCCGTTGCCGTCGAGTTCAGACCAGTAGCAGTTCCAGGCTGGGGTACCGAAGTAGGATTCTGCGGCGTTGTGGAAGCCTTCGCCGTGGCGGCCCATGAAGAAGAGGGCGTAGCGCTCATTGCGCGGTGCCTTCTTGTTTAGGGTGGAGATGTAGTGGGCGAGACGCTGCCATTGGGTTGAGTGCTTGCGGTCTGGGCAGGAAGAGTCGCTGGGGTAGGTTCGGTTGATTAGACCGAAGTTGCTAGTGAGGAAGTTGAAGGTTGAGGGATCGGTTGTGGGCTCGTCTTGTTGAAAGATGCCTGTTACGACGGTGTAGTTGATGGATTTTGCGTGGTGGTATGCGCTGACTGAGGTCGCGGCGGTCAGAAGACCGTAAAGAAGCGATGAAGCGAGCATGATGGCAGATTAGGAATAAAATTACTGCAGGTAGATCCAACGCCTGCTGTTCGGATGAACGATGGTTCCCGGCTTCTCTTTAAGACATATGTGATGTCGGACGTCTTTGCTCCGATTGTACAGCGGCAGACATGGTTGGAGATGTGGATGATGTTCACAGCCAATCATTGATAAACGTGATTCGGCTGCATTGCCAGACGAGGCTTAACGCATGGCGAAGAACGTTGACCTTCCTGTCGCGTCGTTGGCCAAGGACTAGCTGCGATGGGGCAATGAAGATCAAAGACCCGGTGGAGAAGAAGCGTGTCGTATGGCATGGCCGTGATTGGAAGGGAACCTTCGTTCAAGATGTTCACGATGCTGCGAGGGACGCACTTGTGGTCCGTAGACCCGGTTTACGGTGCCGTCCAGCTTATTTGGGATGAGATGAAAAATTGAAGGGTAAGTCCCTTCGAGATGCTGGACTTTGTACGAAGCAAGACAAGAAACCTGGTGGTGTTGACGACTTGGTCGTTTGTTCACTCATGTTCTCTCAAACGATGTCCATTCGAGTCTGCAAAATGCTGGTAGGAATGACGAGGAATAACGATGAATGAAGTTTACATATGCATAGATTGCGCGCAGGTGCAGTTGGTGTTGGAGAATCGGGGGAAAGTGAAAGCCCGCCATGTGCGTGTGTACCTGCCAAGGCCGTCGGCTGCACCTGCCCTGCAAGAGCTGAGCCGCGGCTCCACAAAAATTCCAGTTGTAGCTGTCGCGAAATGTATTCAACCAACTCCCGCATCATCTTTAAGCCCAAGATGTTCGAGAACTTGTGCGCGCTCCCGGTGGAGCACGATATCTTTGTGCAGGCGATCCACCCAGAGGAGCCTATCATATCCGTCGGCTTGGCTAGCGGCCATGTGCAGACCTACAGGCTGCCCTCCGGCGCAAGCGACGACGACGACAATGACGAGACGAAAGCTTCCGAAAAGGGCTTTGGCACCATAGACAAGCTCTGGGACACACGGCGACACAAGGGAAGCTGTCGGACACTCGGATACAGCGTCGATGGCACCTCCCTATACTCGGCAGGCACAGATGGCATGATCAAGGTCGCAGACTGCATGACTGGTCAGGTCACTGCGAAGATTTGTGTACCGCTAGATCCGTGAGCACAAGAGACATTGATGTCACGTGAGCGATACTGACACCAACAGTGCGAATGGCGGCATCGATGCGCCCACCCTCGTCTACGGTCTCTCACCGCAATCCCTCATCCTCACCACCGACTCGGGCTCACTGCACATCTACGACATCAGGAACCTCAAGGGCGGCGAAAAGGTCTCACTAAAGCCCGAGAACACACACCGCCCCCACGACGACTACGTCTCCTCCCTCACACCTCTACCGCCCACCCAAGCGAGTACCAGCGGATGGAGCAAGCAATGGGTCACAACAGGAGGGAGCACACTGGCCGTCACTGATCTACGGAGAGGTGTCATGGTTCGCAGTGAGGACCAGGAAGAAGAGCTGCTCAGTTCCGTTATTGTGAGTGGGCTGCCAAAGAAGGGCTCAAGCGTGGGCGAGAAGGTCATCGTTGGCGCAGGCGACGGTGTCCTCACGCTTTGGGAGCGCGGCGTCTGGGATGATCAAGACGAGCGCATCATCGTCGACCGCTCCAAGGGAGGCGGCGAGAGCCTCGACTCCCTCACTGTCGTACCAGACGGCGTTGGACCCGGCGGAAGGCACATCGCTGTAGGTCTGGGCAACGGAGACATTCGCTTTGCCAAGCTCGGCCCGAATAAGGTTGTCGCAGAGCTCAAGCACGACGAGCTGGCCAAGGAGAGTGTTATTGGTTTGGGTTTCGACGTCACCGGCCGGATGATCAGCAGTGGTGGAAAGACCGTCAAGGTCTGGGGCGAGCAGACCTGGCAGGACGTGGATGAAGACGACGAGGAAACGACCAACGGCAAGCGAGATCACGAGAGCGAGGACAGCGACGATAGCGATAAGGACATGGACGACAGCAGTGAGGACGATGAGCCCAAGCAGAAGCGCAAGAGGAGAAAGAAGGGCAAGGGTGGACAGGCCAAGGGCCATGGTATCACGCAGTTCTTAGGGCTGGACTGAGATGGCGATACAAGGTGACTCTTTGTCCAGCTAAATGCTGACTGTGGTCATTCTGGGGAGCAGCTCATCGTGAGCATGCAGGGGACGCATAGTTGAAGCAAGGTAGAAACTTTGACTTCATTATTAGCGCCACAAAGGTACGCGAAGCAGCTACCACATGTCTAAATAGCAGTCCATTGACGCCAACACAGTAATATACAGGAATTACTAATTCTCACACACTTGTTGTCACCACCTCCTGCCTCTGTCGCAATTGCCCCCACTCCCAGTCGGGCCTAGTCCCAAATGTCGTACCTGCTGAAACTGCCACCTCACTTCCTTTCTCACGCCAGCAACAACACAACACCATGGCCAATCCTCAGAAATCCTACCAGCATATCGAGCATGCCTCGACGTGTCCATGCGCGACGAACGCGCTAGGTGCAGTGCTTCCACCCCAGCTCATACCGCCGATATCGCTTACTGACTTGCCATGTGTCAGATGACTGCAACTGTTTCTTCTCTGCGCTTTCCAAAACATCCATTTTTCAGGCTGCTACCTTTGATGGGCCCGATGGCGTCGATGGCCAACTAGATGAGATTGCACAACATCACATTCGAGATTTCGTGGCACAGAAGAGGAGCGAGCGTGGCGAAACACCGCATGAACCACCTCCAGAACTCTACCAACCCCTAGGAGACGGCGAAATCCGCGTATTGGAATTGCATCCTGGCGAGCCCGGAAGTCCGCTGCGAGGCACTCTACACGTTGTCAGTATCGACTTTTCGCACCCTGCAAGAGAGGAGCAATATACACAGCCCTTCGACAATCCAGCAAACACCAGTAGAAGAACTTTGACTTACACTCGACACACCAATCATGCCGTATCACTCGATACAGGCAAGCCGGTGTGGTACACTGCCCTCAGCTACGTCTGGGGTCCACCAATCTTCGATGATACCATATCCTTTGAACATGGACAGTTGAACATCTCCGCAAGCCTGGTGGGGGCTTTGAGCCACTTGAGATCAACTGAGCACAGTGTTGTCTTGTGGACAGATCAAATCTGCATCAATCAGCCCGACATCGCGGAGAAGGTGCAGCAGATCCCGTTGATGGGCTTGGTCTACACACATGCTACAAACACGCTCATATGGCTCGGTGATGACGGTGAAGAGGACTCGGCTCTTGCATTCGATCTGATGGAGACTGTTTTTGTGCGGTTACAAGGGACCGATGCCCAAGTGACGCCAGCGGACTTTGAGAGGCTGGATTTTCCACCTAGCCTTGATCGAGCGTGGTGGGCTGTTCGTCAAGTCCTGCGCCGCCCCTGGTTTGGCAGACTATGGACCATTCAGGAAGCCGTGCTTTCGAGACATCTATTCGTCAAATGCGGCAAGGTCGAGGTGTGCTGGGACGACTTTGCTGCGTGGTGTCACGATCTGGCAGAAACGCATGTGCTCAGTTGGCTGGCTAGCAATGCTGAGCTGGATGAGAAGTACAACACAAAAGCAGACGTCAAGATATTACCACCACACGGCGCTGACGTGGTGAACTCGGTCCAGGCAGAGCGCGTACATGGCCTGACAGTCGTTACGAAAGAAGCATTACTGACCATTCTGGTTTCTACACGTTATGCGCAAGCAACGAACCCCAAAGACAAGATCTACGGTGTACTGGGTATAGCACATGCCAATATCGTACCCGACTACAGTCCCGATGTTTCTGCGAGAGCGGTCTATCACGAGGCCTGTCTAACGGAAATACCTGATCGCGTTTACGAACTGCTAAGCTGTGTCGATCACGACGAGCCGCTTCGGCCATCGTGGGTTCCGGATTGGAGCACTCCACGTGTGACGGACGTACTGGGCTATTCGACGAGGTCCTGGGCTTTGTACTGCGCGGGTGGTAGGCCCGTTACAGGCGCGCAGCCACCCAAGGCTATCGTGAGCGAGGATAAGCAAGAAATCACACTGAGCGGTAAAGCATTCGATACCATCGCTATCCTAGGCCGTGTTAGCGAAGACCCAGTTCTGGACATCGACGATCCGCAACGGGGCAATGGTGATCTAGCATCCTACGCTGAGCTTGTCATGGGTGCTGGCCGGACACACACATACCTTGTACAAGGCAGCTCGACCTACGACGCCTTTATGCACACACTACTGGCCGGACGCGATGGCTCTGGCGTTACACCACCTGATGCAGATCACAGCGAGGTGTTTGGGCTCATCCTCGATGCCACGACAGGCAAGTCACTTTGCCTACCTGGTCAAACTATGAGCCAGCGGCGGCAGAAGGGTCACTTCAACCTGGACAGTCTCAAGAGCAGGAAGCCGGCAAAGACCCTGGAAGACTTGCAAACGGCGTACCGGGCCGCGCTGAAGATGCGCCGCTTTGCTGTAACCGAGAAGGGCTACTTTGCATTAGTGCCGAGGGGGGCGCAAGTCGGTGATGAACTTGCTGTCTTCGATAGGGCATGTGTACCTTTCGTGATCAGGAAGCAGCAAATCGAAGGATTTGCCGAGAAGTTTGAGCTGCTTGGTGAAGCTTACGTCCATGGCATTATGAAGGGCGAAGTGATGGCCAAGGAAGACATTGAGCTTCAAGACATCACGCTTGCTTGAGCGCATCCTAGGCGGTCCATCTTCCCGACAATCCCCATCCATCGCGATCAGGTCGGCACTTTTCCACTAGCGCCGACAAGTCAACCAGGTCACAAGCAAGCCTCTTTATATGGGGCGGCACTCTATCCTCGGGGGGCTTGGCGCCTCCAATCTACACACGGCTAAGCCATTGGCTAAAGCCAACCTCGCTTAGGACTTCTAAGAACATTCGACACACGCTCTACATTGCTTAATATAATCGCGTGGCAACTCCAGCGACACGGCCTTTATCATCCGGGTTTTGGCTGGCATAGCGTTGTGGTGTTCAGGCCTTTGCCGCGCCGGCTCGCGATGCGGTTGGTGGATGCAGAGGAAATGCTCCGCTCATCTGGGGTGCAGAATGTAGGCTTGTTCGCATCTGGGTGTGTGTATGCGATATCACCAGGCATGTAATATATGTAAACCTTGAGTCTGGGTTCAGGTCTTCGACGTCAGGGCGAAGACGTTATTTATAAGTATCCCGACTACAGCACCATTGAAACATCAATCACCTCCACTCGAAGCAACGTCAACCACCACAATGAAGCTCTCCACCCCACTTGTCCTTGCTGCTGCTGCCAGCTCAGCATCTGCTCACACAATCTTCGTCAGCGTCAACGGCGGCGCTGTAGGAGATGGTGTCCGCGTTCCCTCATACGACGGCGTACGCACCCTATACTTCCAACCCATCCCTCCCCCCATCTAACCTTACCCTAGCCAATCAACGACGTATCTACAAACGACATAGTCTGCAACGGCGGCCCCAACCCCACCGCCAAAACCTCCACCGTCATAACCCTCCAAGCCGGCTCCACCGCCACCCTAACCTGGCGCCACACCCTCACTTCGGGTCCCTCCGACGTGATCGACTCCTCCCACAAAGGCCCCGTAATGGCCTACATGAAGAAAGTCAGCGACGCCAAGACCGACTCCGGTGTCGGCGGTGGCTGGTTCAAGATCGCTGAAGACGCTTTCGACGGCTCAAAATGGGGTGTTGATCGCTTGATCGCCAACAAGGGTGTTCAGACTGTTACGATCCCTAAGTGCATTGCTCCCGGACAGTATCTGCTCAGGGGAGAGTTGATTGCGCTGCACTCGGCGAGTAGCAGTATGGGCGCGCAGTTTTATATGGAGTGTGCGCAGATTAATGTTACGGGGGGTGAGGCGAGTAAGACGCCGAGTACGGTTTCTTTCCCGGGCGCGTATAAGCAGAATGATGCGGGGATTCTTTACAATCTTTACACTGGGAGCAAGACGTATACGAGTCCGGGACCGGCAGTATTCAAGTGCTAGGTCGTGGAGTGGGAAGAAGAGGATATAGTTATATCGCAGCACAACAAAATCTAGACTGGTTAAAGATTTTATGCCAAAGTTGAGAACCGTCTTTCTCCAAGCAGATTATCTAGTATGTCTGCCGTTTCATCCCCAATTCCGTCGCACTCTTACTCCGATCCTCAGGCGAAGAGATCAAACTCATCGTCTTCACTCTCAACCACACACACCATGTCCTCATTGAGGAGTATGGTTGTTGCATCGTAGTCATTGCCTTTGGGAATCGCAATGCTGCTTGACTTGTTCTTCCTATCCGTGCCTGCGGTAGGCACAACGGGGAGCTTGTCGAAGGGAACAGTGACGTTGAGGTATTGGAGGATACGACGGAAGCCCTCCCGGTATCTCCTTGTCCCCCGGGAGCGAGAGGTTGGCTTTGTAGACCTGCTTCAAGGGATGGTGTCATTGGTCTTGGTGATGCGATAGCACGTGGCTTGCGCGGTGCCTATTTGACTTGTTGACGATAATGGCTGCGACGGATAGTTTGCGCTTCGTGGTGTGAGGGGTTGGAGTGGACGATTGTTCTTAAGTGTTGGTGGAATGACGCATGTAGTGATGAGCCGGCTACGAGTTTGACACAACAGCTAGGAGGCACAGTCACGTAGAAGCAGAAAAGATACAATTCATTCCGAACTAACGAGATCCAACCTCCCGTAGCCATCGTAGTCTTCAACACGCCCACGTCGCTTCCCTGTCCATCTCAAATATCCAGTGGTAATCACCAACACAAGATCTTCACCACATCACGCCGGTACTAGATCCCCTTCGTTCACCTCATACTCATTTGACCTAGGCACCGGATTGTACTTTTTCTCGATAATGTACTTTGCGATCTCGCCCAGGCCGACAAGGACTCGTAGTACGATGTAGATTACATCGTCGCCTTTGAGCTTGACGGTATCGCCCTCTTTGAACTGTTGAACGTACGGTGGAGTTAGTATAGGGTAGAGTTTATACTTTGTGTGCGTTAGAGTAGAGTGTGTTTGGTACGTACTTGAGGCATGGGTCTGTGAGGGATCGGGGGTATAGATGAGAGGTGATGTGCTGGATATGGTATGTTGTTTAGGTGTTTGGGAGATAGGCTAATTTATGGTTGTGTTGGGTTTGGTGGTCTTTCAACTTACTTGCGATGGAGACACTTGTTTATGAGCCTCGTTGTCTTCTCATGACGTGTCAATATGCAGTACGGTACCTCTCGAGATCAAGCTACTGAAGGGATGCAATTAGGTGCCAACAAAGCCGTCATCTATGCGAAAGATTTGCCTGCAACAGGCTCAAAAAGGTATGCCTGCAGCTGCGCATGGGCTGCCTAGGTATGCACTGCCAGCAGAGCAGTTCGTGCAGTTTCTACTGGTACGACGGCAGAGCCTAATGAGAAGTACGTGCTCATTCGTAGTTGCATCGCCATGGAGAAGATGGTTTAGCAAATCCAGGCATTCGCCATTGGGTGTTCCCATGAGAAAAGTGTTCGCGGCCGCATTTGGACGATCCGGTGAGCTGCAAACGGCTGCATGCATGAGCTACACTATCCGTTGCGAATAAGACATAGCCTGCATGTATGGGTCTCACGTAAGCGCCTGCATTCTTGGAATTAGCGCATGCCGATTTCTCGTAGCGACTTATCGGTCTGAGTGTGGCTTATAGAAGTGTCTGCACGATCCGTACCTGGTGATGCTAGCTTCTCTTTCAACATACTCGAAGGTTTCAGTGGGTTGTTGTTAGAAGATGTCCGGACGGAATGATGTTCCATTCGACCTTTCTATCTCAATGTAAGGGAGAAGGTCTGCGGGAAGAGTGACAAGAAAATGCGCACAAGGATTCCAATTTTTGCCCCATTTTCTATGTCGTCTTTGGCATTGAGACTCGTCTCTCCGATATACATTCGAATATGATACGTCGGGTAGCTCAGATCAGCTTGAGTGTCCATATCTCCCAGTCAGCAGCATGAATATCATGGTCGACATCGTAGAAATGATCATTTTCTTGCATGACTACCTGCATTAGACCAACACGCTTAGCAACTCTTGCTTTTCGATCAATCCATGTAAGTACAAGCACGTCGACATGATCAGAGAATGTCATCAAGTACATACAAAAGTAGTGAGCTGAAGTCAAGCCTTCACTGTCAAAATCGTCAACATATAGTTGCCATTTCGGCGGTTTCCATGATCGTGACTGCGCTTCCAGACTATCGTCAGCGGCATCCCCGTTTTTATCGCCTATGAGAGAGGGGTGGCGGCCGTTGGCTTTGACTGAGATTCGGAGCAGAAGCCGATCAAGCGCTGCGTACTTGATGCATGCGCCTTCTACAATGATGTAGGAACCCTCCAGGACAGCGCCACATATGCTGCTCTTATTCTTTAAAACTATGTGTTGTTCTATAAGTTTGAGACCGAAGAGTCTGACTAGTTCCTGCTTCGTTCTGTAGCTGTGGCATTTGTACCTCGGCGATTGGGTTTGGTAGATGTCTAGTTGTCTTTCCCTGCCAACAAAAATGACACGGCCATCTAGACTAGCCCAACTCCAGCTTGGCGCTCTGTAGTTCTTCTGCGGAGAAAGATAATCCTTGTGTCTTTTCCATGCAAGGTGGTCCGCTAGATGCTTGCTCCAAATCCCGGCAAGGTAAAGTCCCAAGCTCCTGTTTTTGTTTAACAAAGTTGCGATGCCGGCCACAGCGTGGAGCTTGTCGGACGCAACCGTTAGGTTGCGAAGCGAGTATGCTTCAACACACTCATGCCATGCTTGCAAAGAACGCGGGATATCGTTTCTCGTGGCGTCAAGAAAGTTAAGGCTCCGGTTTAGAGGGATACGAAACCGGTCGCTTGCTCCCATCAATGCCTCCGTGAGTAATGGTTGGAGCCGACGCTTTTGCAGAATCGGATAGTAGTGAGAGCCAGGTAGGTTCAAGATGTCCAGCCCCGAAGCTTCGGATACTAATCCTTCTGCGCATTCCCAGATCATCTGTCGTTGCGTGTAGTGAATGATACGGGGAGCAAGCATTCGTTCTTGTGCAGCCCAACCACGACTGGATAAGACTGAAGCTGCGATATCTGTATCCGGCCGAATCACCCCATACCGCAAGGAAAACTTCTTCTCTTCACCCAAGCCAGGAGAAAAGATGACATTGCGTCTTGTGAGGAATCCTTCGCAGCTATCTTTTGCAGCAGTCGCAGATATCATCAGTGATGACAGACCATAGTATGAGGCCATCATCGGTGCCTCGTGCTCCCAGTCGTCGACATTGTCTTGAATGATGCATAGTGCGTCGATCCAGAGGTATCGATACCCTAGTTTGCGTGTGACCTCGATAGCGTCTTTGAAACTTCGTGGGAGAAGCGCCAGACTTATTGCCTGTTCATACTCAGTGATGAGAGGTGTTGTCAACTTCGCTGGCACCTTCTTACCCCAGCAATGGGACAAAATTGTGTATTGGCCCACTTTGCCTTTGGAGATCAGCAGCTTGGGCGCTGCAGAAGGGTCGCTTGGTACTTCAATCACTCGAGAGGGCAGTTGTGCAGACGTCAGTTTAGGGCAGCCCAGATGCTTTGAGCATTGATCAATCCACGTCTTCACACCATGGAAGCATCTTGTGTCCGATGGATCGTCGGGTACTGGCAGTTTGGGATATATATGCTTGCGAGGATTTGGATCTGGATCTATTTTAGTTCGAGTTTACAACCATTGTAACCAAAGACTAGCTCACCCGAGTTCCCGTCCCTTGTACAGAGATCCAAATCGACTGCATATGCATAGGACCGGAACCCACCGGACCGGAACCCATCCATTCCATCCGGGTGGCGAATGCATAGACTTGGCCCATAACATTCGAGTATCAGATCATCTGATGGTGATACAGTACTGCTCAAATTTTGGGAGCTTCGAAGAGTAGCACAAAAGAATGCGCAGCCACTGCAACCACCTCGGCCAGGCCCAAGGCTACGGGCCTTGCTTAAAACCTCGGCATAAGAACCAATGGGATGTGATCCGAAAAACCCAGGGGTGAAGTCAATTCGCGAGCAGTCGCTGCACAGTTCTGTAGTCATCTGATACTTTGGCATAGACTACACCTGCTTGGAACTTGTCGAGTGTGGTGTGTAAGGAAGTAATAAGGCTGAATCTATACAAGGGTGCGGGGTAAGATTGCTGCACGTATGACAAGCACACGTGATCTTCAATCCTTGGATGCAGGGCTTGGATCTCAGCCGCATAATCGCCCCAAGGAATCCTAATGAATAACATCTCGGTTTAAGACGAGATATAAGCGCACGAGGTCTTAAAATCTTAGTTGTACTAGGGGGAGGCGCAAGGAAAGAGCGGGCGTTCGAAGCCGTCCGAATGAACTCGTCCCCACCCCAGCTTGACATCCAGGCACCAGAGCGTCGTAGCTCTGATATCGCACTCACGCCAGCTCAAGCTCAATCAACGAGTCCAGACTATGCGGATGCCGCCAAACCCCCATCATCTTCAACCCCGCACCTTCATACATCTTACGATGCTCCTCTTCCGTCCGGTGTCTAGCCCCAAGACTAGCCATGAGCTCCCAGTCCAGACATGCTACCACGCATTAGCAACCCATCACACTCTCACACTAGAGAAGGCGAAGAACTTACTCTGCACCCAATGTGCGCCTTGATCCGGCACCACGAAATCGTTAACGAGAACCTTGGAATACCCCTTCGTCATGGCCGGCACGATCGCTTTCAAGATCTCCGTGTTGACCTCGTCGTTCCAGTCTTGGATGATGGAATGTAGATAATACGCCCTTGCACCTTTGACAGGCTGCTCCGTCATGAAGTCGTGTGGCATCGCTTCAGCACCAGGCCCAAGTTTCGCAAGCTCAACGATCTCAGGCCTGTCCTGCAATACCAGCCCACCTGGTAGCTGGCCCCCGAACGCCTCCCTCAGCCCCTCAATATCATGTCCAGACCCACCACCAACATCAACAAGGAAAGGCTTGTCCTTCTCCGCTCCACTAATCAACCTCTCTTGCACAGGGTAGTAGTCCTCCGCAAACCACCTCGGCCTTCCTTTACTCCAACTCCCCATCATACTAGCAAACCTTCTCCCCATCTCCGGATTCTGCTGAAAATACTCAAAGTAATGGCTCCCCTTACAATTGTAAGTATGCTGGAACGGCGCGTCAAGCCCCGAGTCCGGACACTTCCAGTCCCTCTGTTCGAAATACGATTTCATAGAGTGATGTACGGGTTGAAAATCTTCGGCAATGTACAAAATGGAGTCTTGGTATGATTGCTCTGCGAAGGCAGATGAGGTGGGTGTATTGGCAAAGGTATCAGGACCTGTTTCGCGCACCGTGCCCATGGCGGCGAGGTGCCGCAGCATGCGTGCGACGATGACGGGGTCGACGTTTTTGTCGCATTTTTTTGCGATATCTAGACTGCTGGCTCCGGAGTCTGGAACGGAGCGCATGGCTTGGAAGAGCTTTACTTCGACGGCCATCCAGAGGGTGGAGAGGTGGGCGGGTTGCGCCCAGAGTATTTGTAGCATGTTTTCGGATGGATGGCTGACTTCTGAGATGAGGCTACGGCATGCGTCCAGTAATCCTTCTCTTGCGCCGCTTTCGCCATTTTTGAAGCCATTGCTCAGTTGCGCGATGTTGTCGAGCAGGGAGAGAGCAGCCTTGCTCGGAGTCGGATCCGCGGCCATGATTAGGTTTGGGAGAACGGAAGATCGCGATGATTGGGAGAGGGGGAACACCAGCCTTGCGTTCTAATTGTCGCGACAAGTTGTCGGGATGCTAGCATTCTGAATCAGTCGCACTACGCGTGCCCCTCATCGGACGAACCTTTGCCGAACTGTTGGCAGGTGGCACCCGCGAAGCGTGGTGGCGAGGCGGCGGGCTGCATGATGGCCCAAGTCCAGAACCCCAAATCCTGGACGTTTTCCACGTTGTGCCCACGTTTGTGATCCTTCCATCCTTGCGTCAGCCACTCCACCAGCTAGCCTATCCTGAGCCCCAGTGTGACAAAGGGATTGCCTGTTTCGCGATAGAATCGTTTGTAATCATGTCGCACCAACAGGACGTCGAAGCACAGAATCCACCTGCACCAACGGAGCCTGCGCATCATTCTGCAGCGGTCGATTCGGGGATTGACGCTGGCTCGTCGTCTGAATTCGATCAAGAGAATAACGGGGAGCATGCACTTGAAGCGCAAGATGATACTAGCGAAGCATCGACGGATGAAGGGTGCGTACTTGCTTCTTCTCTTTGTTTTCTTCAAAATGTCTCCCACCTACCTCTCCGCAAAAATCATGGAAAGTACGAGTTCAATGACTAGCACGAATAACGACCAAATCCCCGTCTGATTCAAAAATGCACCCTCTCCTTCATTATGACACGCTTTGAGAAGACAGCATCTCTCCACAAAGTCACGTGCTCAAACAATTTGTCGGACAATCCATTAACCAACCGCATCAGCTACGCCGACTCCGACACATCCTCCTTCCTCTCCAGCATCCTCTCCTCCGTGCGCCGCGGCGTAGAAATAGAAGGCCGCCTGTACCCCACCTACGGAAAACACGACTACGGGATGCCAATAGACGAAGCAGAACTTGACCGCAACGACCTCCAGCACCATAAATACACCCTCTTACTCCGAGACCGCCTATTCGCAGCACCGATCCCGGATGCTGTATTAAGTACTGGAAATTCAAGGATACTGGATCTAGGTACTGGCACAGGAATCTGGGCAATAGACATGGCAGACAAATACCCCAACGCCTCAGTCCTAGGCGTAGACATAGCAGCCACCCAACCAACCTTCGTCCCCCCAAACTGCTCCTTCGAAATCGACGACGTAGAAGAAGAATGGGCATACCGACCTTCCCACTTCGATTTCATACACGGCCGCGATCTCATGACCGCTGTACGCGATTGGCCGCGTCTAGTATCCCAAGCCTACACGCATCTAAAACCAGGCGGCTGGATCCAGCTCGCGAGTACGATACCGGGCGGGCTGTCGGATGATGGGACTATACCGCCGGATTCAGGGTATTTGGAGTCGGCCCGTGTGTATTTTGAGATTGCGGAGAGGATGGGTGCGCCGCTTGATGCGCCGAGGGAGTGGGGGAAGCAGATGGAAGAGGCGGGGTTTATTAATGTGACGGATGAAGTGTATAAGTTACCTATGGGGCCGTGGCCACGGAGTAAGCGGCTGAGGACGATAGGGAAGCTGGAGCAGATTATGATTTTGGAGGGGGGTTTTGAGGCGTATATGCTACGAGGGTATACGCAGGTGTTGGGGGGTCGGGCGGAGGATTTGCAGATTATATTGGCTTTGGCGAAGAGGGAGGTTAGGGATCCAAGGATGCATACGTATGTGCAGTTTCATGTTACGTGGGCGCAGAAACCGCCCGTGTAGTGGGAAACGAAGAGAAGTTAATACCAGAAGAGCCTCGTGAGATAGGTGGTGTCTGTGACTTGTGATATGCAAACAGAGTCCCGGCCTGCGATAAGGCTCCCGCACAAAAGGACACAGACACAACGCAAGCTGTCATCACCAATATCAGAGGTAGGGAGAGTTCAATGATTGAGACATCGTAATATCGGGGTATCATTTGAATCATAAACTAACTATCCTTTTGACCTTACGTGGTCTTTTGCCGCTTTTTCGCCTTCGAGAGCGCCGATGTTATGGCAGCGAGCTCTTTCTCAACCTCCTCATCGTCCTCACTTTCCGCATGGACTTCGGCGGCTTCGTCATCGTCAGCAGCCTCGAGTGTGGTGCCACCTTCTTCGTCGTCATCCGACACCTCTTCCTCATCATCCTCCTCGCCATCCATTTGTAGGCCGTCTTCGTCACTGAAACCACTAAAGTCAGAGTCATAATCGGACTCGTCTTGTTTGGCGCCAGCCTTTCCAGCGACACTACCGGTAGCCTCGCTCTCGCCGCCTCGTTTCCGCTTCTTGCTCATCTCACCAAGCTTGCCTTCACGCTTCGCGTTGATGGGTCCGCTCACTGCTTCTTCACCCTCCTTGTATGGTGGTGGAGTGAACCAAGGAAGCTTTCCTCTTATCCAGTCGTTCAGAACCATCTTTGCGGCGCCATCAATGTCGGCTTCACCTCCCTTCAGCAGACGACCGCTCTTGCGGCACAAGCATTCCAAAAAGGCGACAGCATCGCCTTTGTAGTCTGAATCCTTGATATCGTACGTTCGCTGGAGATGTCGCGGTTGTACACGCTTCAGGACCTCTTCGATGTATTGTGCTGGATACTCGACGTTCTCGACACGTACACTACCGCGAAGGAGCAGATCTTGATCGGTGTCGTTCTGGTTTGGTGGTACAATACCAGGACAGTCGATCATGTAGATGCGCTTCATCAGGGTAATGTATTGCCAGACCTTGGTTTCTCCAGCGATGGGCGCGACGACGCACACCTTCTTCTTCCGCAGGGTGTTGATGATGGACGATTTACCGGTGTTTGGGTAGCCAACCATACCCACGGAGACCTGTTTACGGTCGCCGTGAAGAGAGCTGAACTGGCGGAGAAGGGCAATCAAAGAACCCTTACCGAAGCTGTTGTTGATGGAGGCGTGGAAAGCAAGAGTGGGGAATTCTTTGCTGAGATGACGAACCCATGCAGCCTGTCAAGTGTCAGTGTGTGGTCATCAACTTGAAATGATATAATGCGTCGACGACGGAATGTGCGAAATATTACTAAGAGTACCGCCATGAAGCTGCTAGTGCAGAGACGGTCCTCAACTCAAACAAATCACGCGTGACTCTATTGATCGGCAGCCAAGACGGTTACCAATCGACCCGCGATCAAGACGATCTTAGGCCAGCGACCCACTTTTGCTCTTCCCAACTTGTAACAGAACCGTATTCATGGAATAGGAAAAGGTCCTTGACTTAAGGAGGGTGCATGTGGTGTATGGGGTGGAGAGAGGATGTGAACTTACAGCAACCTTGGAGGGGACGAGATCGACCTTGTTGAGCACAAAGACCAGATGCTTGTGGGGTGCCTCGGTGCGGATGTATTTTTCGACAGAGCGGCAACGGGTGCCATCAGGGTCGCGGGCGTCTAGGACATGGAGAATGACATCGGAGGAATCGATGACCTGGGGTATGTTAGACATGGCTTATGAGAGGTGGTGCTTGTAAGCTTACCTTGTACAGCTCGTTCCAGATACGCTTCGATGTGCCCTTCATGAAGATGAACTCGCGCGCAGACGTGAGCTCGCCGTTGGGGTTGTCGGCGAAGGACTCGTTCTGCTCTGCCTCGCCAGACGTACCCGACAGCAGCTTGGCGTTCTCGAGGCGCTCCACGTAGGTCTCGTGCATACTTCCTGTGCGACCAGCCAGATCCTCAATGGAGCTGAAGTCGAGCTTCGGGCGCTTCCGTTGAGCCTTGGGACCGAACGTCTCTGAGAAAGGCTGGCTGCCAACGGCGATCTTGGCCGCGTGCTGCTTGAGGCCTGGGATCTGTCCGGGTGTCTCGATCAAGCTCATGGGGAGCTTGTTGCGCTTCATCAGGAACGTGGTCGGGTCCGAAGACTGCGCCTCCACGGCGGAGCGGAAGCTGTCGAGGGCATCTTGCGATATCACTCGCGTGTTGTTGAACCACTTCCTGTTGGGCTCAACACGGGCGACAGGTGCAGCGCGGTTCTGGTAGACGGCGGCCTTGGTGATGTCTCCCTTGGCATTGCGCTCCGCTGTGCCGCCTGTGAGGCGCTTGAGGAGCTTGACCTTCTTCGCATCACTGCGAAACTGTCAGTATACCTGTACATAAGGACCCTGGCGCAAAAAGATTGCGCGACATACCGGTAAAAGTTGGCGCCCTTGGTCTTGACATTGCCCATGCCATCGCCCGTCTTGCCCTCGCGCTCCTTGCGGTTGTACTCTTTCTTCTGGACACCCATTGCGACTGCTTCCTGTGGTGTTGGCGGATTGGGAAGAGTGAAGAGTAGAGTTCGCGAGGCATGGGCAACTTTTTTTGAGAGGCGGGAGCTAGCCGGAGTGGGGCCAAGGGGCTTGGCGCCGACAATTTCGAAGCAGGCGCGACGACACCAGCGCAGCACCTCCGCATCGCCGCATCCAAGTGCACGAGGCAGGACCACCGCAATGCCGCCCAGGATACCCGTCCGCTACCCGTGGGCCTCTCCTTCACCCTCTGCAGCCGCCAATGGCTGGAGCAGCAGCCTGTGTGTGCGTGCCTTCTCCTCCACCCCATCTGCCCTCGCCCTCGGTCCGCAGTCGCCAAACTACATCGACGTGCCGAAGCCGCTGCAGCCCACCTACCCAGCCAAGCCCGCAGTAAAGGGCCACCTCCCCATCCCAAGAGACGTCTTCAAGACGAGGAATAAGCACCCAAAGGAGTCGGACATCTTCCTCGACCGGAGTACGAAGGAGCCCAAAGAAGTCAAGACCCCCGGACCATACAGCCGGGATGTCGACTACCGGTTATACAAGCAAAGGCTGGCGGAGAAGCGGAGAGAGAATCTGAAAGAGGGTGTCAAGGCGCTGCATGAGCGAAAGGTCACATCAGAGGCCGAGTACATGGCCAAGATCCAGGCCATCGGTGCGAAGAGGCGGGAATTGGCTACGGCACCCCGGCGCGAAGTCGACATCTTGACAGAAACATCGGTCGCCAAGGGCATCCGCGACTTCCTCACCGACAGCCTGCCCCCGCGGCCAGACATTACACAGGCCCGCAGCCGAGCATACAAGCGCCGAGTAGCCCGGATACAGGAAATCCGCGCTTCCCGCCTACACGATCTGTACACCAACGCGCGGAAGTTCATCGTGGACGAACAACAATTAGACGAGGCGATAGAAAAGGTCTTCGGATCTGATGAGCAGCCTGTCGCTTGGGACGCCAGGGGCGTCATGGGCCCACGAGAAGATGGCAGGAACGGTCTCAGCCCATGGGACGGACCTCTGCCTGAAGGTGTCGGTGACATGCTCAACAAGCTCAAGGGCGGCGAGGGTGTTGGCCTTGCCAAAGAGCGCGTCAAGAAGGTGGCCGAGGAGCTTACTGGTGGTAAGATGTAAGCTCAGTACGGAGCTATGTATCATGTACTTCATGTGTATACCAATATTTGGACGTCTCGATGACTCTTGGCACGCACCCTCTCTTTGATCAAACACCGTGGTACCACCTTTCACTCCGCATGCGCCGCCGATAGCGGACAGCGAGCTAGACTGCTCAAGCGCTAGCGAGGTGAAGGAGATACAGCGGTCCGTCATCTTCCACTCAACATTGTCATTTCGCGACTTCTAACAAACGAACGAAATACATTCTGACCCACACATCACGACCTAATCACCGCGAACGATCACTTCTATAGTCTTCTGATTGCATCCTCCGCCTTCGTACCGCCTGCCAGTGAGGCCTGCCTTCTCTAGGTCAATCATTTCGAGTACCCACCCGAGTCGTGACCGAAGTTCTACTCCAAGCGTTTGTCAAGGTTCCCGACTTTACCTCTGCAAAGGCGTTATCAGCGCTATACCGGTGAGCGTGATCCATGGGGCTACTACTCTATCCAACTACTTATACATCCACTCCTTCACGCACTCTCACTGCACCTCTTCACAAGATTCACTCACTACCTCAACATTGATTCTACCCCCTCATTCAAGCCCAGCGACTATACCAAGCGCACTCTCCTGCACCCTCACCGCGCATCCACCCAGCCCAGCAGCCCGTCATGAAACTCCTCGCTCTCCTCTTCGTCTTACTCTTCAGCGCCCTAGCCCTCGCCATCCCCTTCCCCGACGACACCCCCGCCTCCACCGAAGGCAGCAAGCCGAAACACGACCCCCTCACCCAGACCCCCGCCCACGAACGCCGCGGCGTAGCGTACAATGACGTCGCCTACAACAAGCTCTTCCAAGGCGATGGAACCCACGTAACGTGGCGCTTCAACTGGGACTCCTCATCCGCCCTCTCACCTGCCTGGTTCCGCTTCGTCCCCATGCTGCATTCACTGCGCGATGACCATACGGGCCGCTGGAAAGACAATGCCGAGGCGATGGCGAGGAAGAACTGGGAGGACAATGAGTTCGCGACGTGGTTGATGGGGTTTAATGAGCCGGATAACTGCATGTAAGTACGGTCTTTGCTTCTGGTGAGAATAGGTGCGTTGCAGAGGTCTTGCTGATTATAGTAAAAGTCCTGACGCGGGCGGTTCTTGTATCGACGTCCCCACTGCCGTTGCTGGCTGGAAGAAACACATGGAACCGCTCTCCAACTTCAACAGCGCGATGTATCTCGGGTCACCGGCTGTCACTAATGCAGCAGCCTCTGATACCACGGGTCTGGGTTGGCTGGCCAAGTTCCTGGAAGCCTGCGACGGCTGCACCATTGACTTCATCAATATCCACTGGTAAGTCTCTCATGCTCTTTACAGAACCACCGATCCCTTCAAATACACCAATACTCAAATGTCTCGCATAGGTACAACTCCGTCCCCAACTCCGCCCAAAACTTCAAAGACCACATCGCCAACGCGCGTAAAGTCGCCAAGGGCCTCCCCATCTGGGTCACCGAGTTCCGCGCCGAAGGTACCGACGACGAGATCAGGGCCTTTTTGGACGATGTCATGCCATGGATGGATAAATCGCAAGATATCCATCGTTATGCGTATTTCATGGCTAGACCGGGCAAGGGTATGCTGGTTAACGATGCGGGCGATGGGTTGAGTGACATCGGAAAGGAGTTCGCGTTCTTCCATAAGCATGACTCTGAGAAGGACAGGAACGGGAAGAGTTATGGGAAGGGCTGGGATGGGACGAGGTATTGGGAGAAAGATGGGCAGTGAGGTGGAACTGGGAAGGGTGTCTTTTGGGGACCTTGGCAAGGAGATAGACTCGTGATCTAGACGAAGAGTTTGGAGAAAGCCTGAGATGGAGGGCCATATCTCATTCACCATTTCTCTTACCATCTTCATAACCTTATATATCTTCCCACATATCTTATTACCTAGCTCCCCGGACTCCAAGGCTGCCCAATAGCCCTCCTAAACCCCCCTTCAAACACATCAATCGTCTGATTCATATTCATCCCACTCGCGATCGCCAGCTGCAGCATAATCCTCGCTTGAATCGGATGCACAAAGCCTGCCTTCGCAAAGGTCGGTGTCCGAGCCGGACTCGACGGCCCATGTGGACTGCGCGTCCCAACAACGACCTGAAGCCCTTTCTCCATCGCTTCGGTAATCTCGTCCCCGCCATTCGGTACGCCGCCGTTTCCAGTCCCGGCTATGACGACACCGTCCGCGCCGTTGGCGTGCGCATCTAGTACGAGCTTGCCGTCGAACTCGCGGGCTGCGTAGAGGATGTCGACTTTGGGTAGTGTCGGGTAAGTAGGATACGCACTCACAGTCCCAATATCGAAATAATACTTCCACAACGGCTGACTCGGCGAGTTGAAAAAGACCGGCAAACTGTTAATAAAAATGCCCAAATCCCCACCCGACGTAGGACCAAAAGCATCCGGATTAGTCGAATGCAGTTTCGTGACCCAGTAACCGGGTATGATGCGTGCGTTGAACGCTACCATGAGGCCTCGGTTGCGTGACTCGGGACTTGCAGCTAGCATGACTGCGTCGAAGAAATTCGCTTCTCCGTCCCAGGAGAGGTGGGTGAAGGGTCGCATGCTACCTGTTCCGACGATGGGTTTCCCGCAGTTGACGAGTGAGTCCATGAGAAATGCTGTTTCTTCGAGCGAATTTGTGCCGTGCGTGTATACTGCGCCTACGATATCGCTGTCTGGTGAGCATAGCGCGTCGTGTGCGAAGCGCGTCATGTTCATGACTAAAGCGTCGTTTGTGCCCGTTGACCCATCTTCGGATGTCCAGTTGGACACGGCGAGTTGCGTGTTGTTGAGGAGGTACGGGTTGCGTGCTATTATGTCTTCGCCGGTTTGGCTGAGCTGGCCGTATTGCGTGTCGTCGAGCGCGCCGTAGATGGAGCCTCCGGCTATGGTGCCGCCGGTGAAGAGGACGCTGGGGTGTGTTAGGGAGGATGGGGATGGGGATGTGATGGACTTGGGTGATGCGTACAGGACTTTGGGGAGACTGCTGTTACCGCCCAGCCATGTTAAACCGAGTCGCTCGCTAGCCGTTGTTGCCTGACGTGGTTGGGGTTGTGAAGCTGTTGGTGCGGTATTCCCGACCACGCTTAAAGAAGCAGCGAGTGCGACGTTGGAGAACCGCATGATGATTAACTATCGATAACCAAAAAGACCCAATGTTGTAAACCCTGTGCTTTTTGTACCTTTATACTTCCGCCCATCCCACTCTTGCCGTCGCCCAACTCCTCCGCTTACATCCGCGGGCAATTGGATCTGACATACCGCCGGCTACGAGCCGTGTCTTCTCATGTAGCATCACGACATCGTGCATGTTACTGTCTTGGCAAGTATATATGAGGAAGGTGTGAAGCTTGTGCTGCAAGTAGTCATGAAGTTGTTATCGTTCCTGCGTTATCGTTGAGAGATGGGCGAAGCTAGGCTGTGTTGGGGGCTGGGCAAGGCCCCACGTTTGCCAAGAGCGGGGTCGGAAATCATAGACTACATTGCGCTCTCTCGTACTAACGAGAACGTCGGAAATCCTAAGGTTCGCTGTTACTACGATCTAGAACGAGTAGGAGATGAAGTCAGGGCGCTGCGAAGACTAGGTTGTTTCCGCAGAAGAAGGATCAGTGGATGTCGCTAAGGAAAGCGGAGCTGTCAGTGTAGTGCATACGGGACACATGTCATCGTCAGATACGTCAAAGCCGCTCAAAGCTTCTGCGTCGATGGCTGCGCGTCCGGAAACCGCATCTGGAGTTAAGCACCACCTTCCGTCAAACGAGGTCATCTTGCCGAAAGCGACTGAAGATTGTGGGCTTGAACTATCTGCAAGTATTAAACTTAGCGAGAGCTCTACTGCCACTTCAAATCAGACTTTGTCATCCAGTAGTGAGACACCGACCGCGACTACAACAACCGAGCAAGAGTATGCGATACACAGTAGGAACGATACCCCTCCTGATGTCTTCAAAAGTTTCATCAACGAGCTCGACGGAGGGAAAGGACAGCTTTACATCTGGGAGGCTCTTGGTGGGCAGCTGTACATAACTATGCTCAACGCCACACAAGCAGAAGAGTTGCCCAAGAATCACGACCTCATCGAATATATCTTTCGTAACACGATCGTGGAGGCTTTCGAGCGTAACGAAGGAACTCAAGTGACGCGATCTGTGCAAGCCGGAAACGAGGCTAACCCAGTAAGTGATCCACCAATGTTGTCTTATCTACTCACATAGTCAGGATGGACGCCCTGTCGCTCATGCAGTTGATACTGTCGTCACACCGAATCTGTTGACATTGGGCGAATTCGACTTTGAGCGGCATGGAAAGGAGCATTTCTGAAACGGCGAGCATGGAACAATGTAGGATGGCTGTATTAGGTCATTATCCAAAAATGAAGAAGCACCATCACATGCTGCCAGGACTTTGGTTGACAGTGGGTCGTCAGTGTATCATCACACTATGCGCTTCAGATCTCGACATGATTCGTATCTCAATGTTGCTAGCAGAGATCATCAAAAAAACATTCATATCGAGACCATTCGATGACGCAAAGGTACAAAGACCGTGGAATGTACCTGCATCATATTCTCCAGGGAGATACCACCTCAGCGACCCATTCCTTCTTGTCTTTTTTCATAAACTTACCTACAGATTCGATGGCCTCTTCCAGCAAGCAAATAGTGCCATTCATTCTTCTTTCGCTTCTGTTTCGGCTGTCAGTGCTATGGAGGTGACATGCGGCGATGCCAAAGCCTTATGGAATCTTTCCGCGGTGACCACGGCATTACATCCCGCCATCACCGACGTCTGGAGCCTCGAAGGATGCCACAGGACTATCAAAGACAGCACTGACACCTATCTGCAAGTGCTGAGTACATGTCAGACAGATATAAGGACTTTGGTCATGCCAGTCAATTCGGTTCTTAGAGACGATACGAGGCTACGTGCAACTGATCGTGAGGGACGAATGTTGCGCGCAAGCTTAACAGCATGATTTGGCAGCATGTGTGCGTCAGATTGACCATGAACAGTTCAACTGGCTCGCCAGAAAAGGCAAGACATAATCAATGACGATCCCCTCAGTTGGATAAAAGGCAAGGGTAGAGTGCACTTCCGTGGAAGCTCTGGCGTCACCGTTGTCAATGTCTAACAAAAAGTCCGACCAACGCTCAAACCCTGGACGAGATGACCCTAGGACTCTTATCTCGAACTAATAGTGACTTCATTGACGATATTCGAGCTGGAGACCTAGACCGGCTTACATCCAATGATTAGGTGGACTCGTGCGAACTACAGATGTGTGTCACACATACCTAGGTAGCTACCGGCTGATAGATTGGCGAGACCAGTGGCGCACAGACTGCCTATAATCGCGGGTACCGACGTACGCGTGTACCTTGGTACCACCGGTTGCGAAAACATTTCGCGCATGCATAAGTATCCATGCAGCTGACAACATTTTCCATTGCAACGGCTCTCTCAGACACCAGCCTAATTGCCAACGTTCAACAATGTCCGACACAGGCGATCTCGACATCACCAGGAATGTATGCGAATGGATCACAATCACCGCGCCAGAAAGCATACATTACGCAAGCTCACAGTCCAACCAACTATGGCGTACCGTGCTTCGGGCTCTCATTGATCTGAAGAGGTGTGACGGGGTACAAGAGTGTGACTGGAGTCGCGTCCTAGAGCAGCCGTCTGAACTATACCTATGGATATCCTGGACCCACAAATCTGCGTACGATGCGCATGTCGACATGGATAGACATCGCCATCCCCATCAAAAGCTGGAGTTGCTGTCATCCTCAGTAGTAAAAACAAAGATCATACAGTATGACATGCCCGGTTGCTACTCTGGAGGCGCCCGGTTAGCCCGATCCTGGCCGAGTGTCACTTTGATGCAGTTTCCGGGCAAGCTCACTGAGAAGCAACGCGATCAGATCGAGTCCAGTCCGAGCATGGCAATGTGCACTGAGAGACACAACCCGTTTATTGATCAACGGAAACTTGGCGGCTTTGTGCTCCTCGAGAGTGATAGTCACGGCGAACTTGTTACGCTGGGACAGGACACATATGTCATACTCGACCGTTGGGAGAGTCCTGCCCGTGAAGAAGAAGTAAAAGGCATCGGTAAACCCAGAAAGCACAGGGCGCCGACCCGCGATCGGTGTGATCGTGCTCAATCACCGCCTCCTCGTTTCGTCGACCAAATGAGGGCACTGGGTTGTAGCACGATCGAGACCAGGCACATGCGCTTCACCCACATGCATGCCCCTACCGACCCGCACGAAGTAATAGAGTTAGTCGCAGAGGATATGGAGGCGAAAAGCTTCGAGTTTGACTGGGAAAAAGGCAGGAAAATGTGGAAGAAGAGAAAGAGAGTGAGAATGTCGCGCATGAGGTATGGGTGCAGGTGTGGTACTCTCACGACGGAAAGTGAAGCAGCTATAAAGAGGCAGATGCTGTTAGCTGAGGACAGGGATGTCGACGCTGAAAGAGGAGACAGGAGGAATGGTCTGCGAGCGAATGCGCAGTTGAAGCTGAGACGGAGGGACTACAAAGACATGTGCTGAGGTATCTGCCGCTGTAGCGATATCGCTCGCCAACGAGAGGCATGTGTAGCCTCGTTGGTACAACTATCGCACTAGAGTTGCGTTCTTCGTCCGCAGTAGCAATCGATTACGCTGTAGAGACGATTACGACATCAATCTAAGCTCAACCGAGCTTAGATCGTGTTTCATAACGGCGTCAACTTTGGAATCCCCGAGGTCCGACCGGAACAACACGTACTGCCGTTCCCTCACCTCATCTCCCACTCAACACCGCGCCTTCGTTACATCGTATCTCCGTCAAGTTGCGCAACAAGAGCTGTGCTAACTGTAGTCCGTCATTAATGCGAGCATTGGCATCGCCTCCTGTTTGCTGCCTCGCCATTAAGGCTACTCACACGTGAGCAGCTACCTGTAGCTGGCCATCGCACGTTCTTCTCTCTGTCAGATCAGCAGGTGTTGCTGCAAAAATTTAATACAACGTCGGTCTTTACATCGTCTATCTGTGTTTCGATTTCAGTACCGACATAGTGGAGCATTTGAGTGGCATCGCGCTCAATTGAGGCAGTTTCTATGCACTAGACCCAATAGGGCAGCATACATCCAGAGCACCCTGTTGGTGACGACCTGGCAGTCTGACGAACGTACCCGGCTTCTATACGTATCGATTGCGTGAGGGGCAGGCACGATGCGGGGCATATCGACGTTCCCAACCATTCTCTTTCCTCTTCTCTCTACATCCACAGTCTTTGCCTCAGAACAACAGCCCTTCGAATTCGGCGCCATGTCTGCACCCCAGTACACCCTTCCACCGCTACCATATGCCTACGATGTTAGTATAGCCTGAGATGACTTCATTACCCCGCCCACAGTATGCTCATAGTCCATAGGCATTGGAACCGCACATCTCCGCCCAGATCATGGAGCTGCATCACAGCAAGCACCATCAAACATACATCACGAACTTGAACGGCCTTCTCAAGACCCAGGCCGAAGCTGTCTCTACCTCGGACATCACCTCGCAGGTCTCCATACAACAGGGAATCAAGTTCAACGCAGGCGGACACATCAATCACTCCCTCTTCTGGCAGAACCTCGCACCTGCAAGCTCGGATGAGGCCAAGAGCTCCTCTGCTCCTGAGCTGCTCAAGCAGATCAAGGCGACCTGGGGTGACGAGGACAAGTTCAAGGAAGCCTTCAACGCCGCTCTGCTCGGCATTCAGGGAAGTGGTTGGGGCTGGCTGGTCAAGACCGATATAGGCAAAGAGCAGCGTCTGTCTATTGTGACGACTAAGGATCAAGACCCTGTCGTTGGCAAGGGCGAAGTTCCGATCTTCGGTGTTGATATGGTGAGTTGCTGGCTCTTCGACCCTCGAGGCCACAGGCGACTAATTTGACATATAGTGGGAGCATGCGTACTACCTTCAGTACCAGAACGGCAAAGCTGCATATGTCAAAAACATCTGGAATGTCATCAACTGGAAGACGGCGGAGGAGCGTTACCGAGGATCGCGCGCCGATGCTTTCAGCGTGCTCAAGGCTTCTATGTAAGCGGGCGGAGACCTCATGTAGGGACAGCACGAAACG